CGGCGATATTTTGGGAAGCGCCTGTTTCTACCTTCGGTCACTTTAGAGCAGTGTAAACAAAAACCTTTTTATGTACTCCTCCCATCCGTCAAGTAAAAGTGATGATCAATATTCACAGAGAGCATATAGCATTGGCTCTTGCCGACTAGAGTGATTTTTGAATACTGAGATTTTGTTCCCCAGTTTTAGTAGGCGTTTCTTGGGAAGCTTGACATGTATATTCATGGAAACGTACGTTTTCGACTTTGTCGCTCATGAACCACTGCTATTGTTTGGTGGTATATTTATGGATGTCGCAGTCGGTGTTTCCAGCGATAAGAATTATATAACCGCGCATCAAAAACAAACATTTGAACACAACTCCGAGATTACGATGTTCAGCTAGTAATACAATTCAGTGAGCACTCAAAACAAATCTGCAATATCTTTGACCCCACCAAACCAACCGCTACTGAAAAGCATATTGGATTAGTTTGAGTGAATCCCGTAGTTTATTGCTGACGGTTCCTTCAAAATCAGGACCATTTAAGGATGATATTTCCATGCGATGTCTTTTGGATAATGCACAACTTCCACTATACTAAAATTGTTATGGCTTTGCTTGGTTGATTAAGTGGAATGGATTTATTGGGTATGAGAGATCCGAAAAAAAACTGCAGTATGATATCTGACTGAAGACATATTGTCAGCCCATTTTTCTCGAATTAGAAGCGTTCTTTTAGGAAATCCAATCTCAGTGATAAAAAGAACGGGAATCCATTCTCTGGCATAAGGGTGATTTTCGAAGTCAGTCTTTTGGCGAAAAAAACAGTGATTTATTTTATACGGTGTAATCAGTATTGAAATCTACTTCGACGACTTGAATTCCAGGCACACTAGAGAATGCTGGAGAGCAACAAATAGAAGACAGCAGACCTTAGGACAAATCGAACAAAGTATACTTTGAGACTGAAAGAGATTAGCCACACCTCGCGCCTAGATAGGAAGTTGTTACACGTTCCAAAAATGTAGCTAAAGCAGGAACATCGCACCGATTTGAACGAACAATAATGAATTGCGACGATGAACATCCGCACGATGGTTTAGGTGCTCCTTATACTGCCTGGAAATGGACTTCCATCGTCATCTGGTGTTACCAAAACTCGGATATTTGGTTTGTTGTTTCAAGTGTGTATCGCATGGAATACTATCAACAGCTTAGCTGCTTTTAACAACTTGGCCGGATGTCCCAGGAGATACGGCGTTTTAGAACAACACGCCAAAATCCAGGCCACTCAATTCAATTAGTTCTGATTTATGAGAATCTCAACTGCGCATTCGTTCAATTGCCATTTGCGCACATATATTTCGTTTGCGTCTGAACTACTTCGATCAAGTGAGTAGTCACGGATGGTTGTCATCATTTAGCCTGTTCAGTAAGACCAAGAATGCAAAAAGTTCGGCAGCTTGCAAGTAGCGTTGAATGACCTCTTGAGATGCCGAAAGCAAAATATCGACGTTTTGAAATTTTTGTCGTGCACCGGATGAATTTTGAACACGAGTGTTGACAAATACGTTGATCGGTTCATACAAAGGCCGATAACGTGTTGATATGTTCAGTGACTCACTTGAATCGCCTTGCATCGGAAAACCAACTGGACTGTTGCCACAGCAAGCATATAATCACACTTCTGGCTGCAGAACTGATACAGATATGCACGAGCTTGATCCTATTCTTGAGTAGGTCCTGCGACACCACTTACCGCCACATGCCAGGTTGGATCTTGGCTCACGGAACACAAGAATCAAAACGTTGTGGAGAGCTGAATCTGATGTGTTCACGCAAAGCGTTTAGAGGCTTTAAGACCACACCTGTACTACGCCCATTGAGGCGAAAAACTCACACAGGCAGTAATCGATTTATCAGTCAACTAAACTGGAACATTCGCATCTTTATTCTTACCGAAAGTGGTCCGATAGCTTTGAAGGGGCACAATAGACGTGAGTCATACGATGAAATTGTGTAATAGTAAAACCGTACTTCGTTACTTTTTTCTACCTCTTTTAGACAAAACCTACATTTAGACGTCAGAGGTTCTTCATGTAAACAACTCGTTTCCGTCCTACTAGCTATTTTCACAGAAAGCAGGGAAATGAAAATAAAGGCTTTACTCTATCAGTCCTGAGAAAAAGAGACAAACATGCATGCCAAGTTTTGATCCAAGAAGCAGTAAAATAATTACTGAGTTTTGTGAAAGCTCTGGTCTTTGTCAAATAACACTTTGAGTACGACTTGAAGTCTCAGTAAGATTGCCTTCCAAGGTGTTCAATGCATCTAAAGGCTTTAGAAATAGTTCATTGATGGCTTCATTAAAAACGGCATCGCACTAGTCCACCGATGCTTCTTTCGGTTTTTGACAAACGTTAGACTGTCGGTTAAAGGAATAAAGTTTCAACAGAAGAAACCATCACTGAGATACCCAAACGGATGTAGGAACTACTTCTCAAAAATAAATATTTTGTTAATTTGTCAAGATACAGCTTTCCGATTTAATACAGGAATGCTTTTGTTTCGGTCTGAGCGGCAGAAATGACTCGGAAATTGAAGTATAATGTGAACTGCATTATCATGTGGGGATCTATCTTCATCGGTTGCACAAACGTACTCAACCAGCACAGCTTACTAAACTTTTAACCAATTTCCGACGTATCGACAAAAGTTGCTACTCTCCCAGTGGGTCTAACCTATTGTTACACACTGTTTCACACGTGATTACACAGTCGCGTATCTGAGCACGACTGGGTAGCCCCATCAGCTGGCGGTGGTCGAGATCACTGCGATTTAGGAATGCGACCGCTGGAGTTGGCATGCTGCATCTAGTTACATTTAAATTCAGATGAGCCTTCACAACAAAACTCGGTGTTATCTGTCGCCAGTTATTTAGTTGAAAATAGGGATTCCGTCAAGTCTGGATCTGCATTCCAAGCCGCATGCACAGGGTTAAGTTGAACGGTTATCAAACACTTGATCTGTGTTAGTTCTATTTTTCTGGTTGAAATACATGCTGTTTACTGTGATAACTGCAGTTGGCGTTTTGATGGAAATGAGGTTTCATGCCCCAGAAGGAATTAAAATTTAACCCAGCCTAACCAATTCACTTGCCACTGTTCGACTATAAAACTGCATATTTTTTATCACTTTGGTTTCAGCTTTCAGTATTTTCAAACCGCTTTAGTTTGCCTTCTGATGAATGTCCATTTCTTTACGAATACTTAATCGGAACCTCAGAAACTGTGATAAGGTTAATCTGAGAGAGGACCACCTTGTAATGCATACGTAGGTGTTTTATGGCATGCGAATCAGGTGCTATACCTTTTAAATTACAGTAAACCACCTATTGTTTCCTCCAGTCTTCTGCTTTGGCTTGACATGTTATACTGCATTTGTGCAGTTGAATATGGTGTTCTTTGTTTTGCCCAACTATTGAACCACCAGCCCACTGACGAGCTGTTACGTCGTCCCGAGATCGACAGCTGACAACGGGCTTGCAGATTGCCGGTTATTTGATTCTGTTGACGCTTAGACGTGAGTCCAATCAATGAAGAAGGGCACTAAGAAAGCGGAGATTAACGGATTCGACCGTAGTCGTCCCGAGCTATTCTGTCCGTACATTTTATTTATGAACCCATTTAGATGAAAGTTGTCTCCCAAACTTCTGTTATTTTTATGCCAAACTAGGAGGCCAGTGATCAAGAAAAGTCTGTACTTATCTAGTGGCCTCGAAGACTATCTTCCTCGGAGTCATGCATCTGATGGGAAAATCCTCACGATTGGAGTGTCTGGTTGACAAAACCAGGAAGTTCTTGGGTCGTGCGTTACAAAAATGTGTCGCGATATCTCGAATATCGTAGCAACTGAAACATGAGGCGGCTTGGTTTAGCCCATTCGGTTGCCTGGAAACATCAGAACCGAAAGATTCAGCTGGAGTCTCTCGAAAAACCAAATTAGTTTGCAAATTAGTGTATTTGCTGGGTCCTACTTCGAGGAGTCAGATCAACCAAGGTTTGTTTCACGTGGGATCACGGTTATCTGTGCACATGTGCATATTCAGTCACGTTCATTTGAGCCACTGCATCAGTTGTAACATTGTTGATGGGCGTGTCAAGTAACATGACCCCAATTTCCTCCACGGCCAAATATGTGCACTGCTGATGACCTCATATTAAAAGCCTGCTTTCTCTTCGGTATGGACCAGACATAAAAGTCGCTCCATGGCGAGAAGAAGACTAAACAAACAGCTGCTGCTGCCCAAATAGGTAAAAAGTTGTTTTTTTGAGGTTTCTTGGAAGCCAATTTTATGCTAGCTAACGTTTATTGTGACACCCAATAGATAGTCAGTAAGCTGCTATCATACCGTCTCGTTTGATTGCCTAGTTTTCCTTCGGTGTTTCCGTCTGACATGTCGATAAGCTACGCCGAAGCAGGCGGGTTTTTTGTCCGAGGAGTTACCACTAGAAGAATCATACTGTCTCGTTTGATTACCTAGTTTTCCCTTGGTGTTTCCGTCTGACACGTCGATAAGCTACGCCGAAGCAGGCGAGTTTTTTGTCCGAGGAGTTACCACTAGAAGATGCTGACAACAGATGTCAACGTGCTATTTATTGAAAGGTGAGTGAACCTTTGGGTTGTCTGAATTCTGACTAAGCATAACGCTGGTCAGTTCCTCGTGGCTCAGCTTTTGACCGGAAGGCCTCGGGTAGTACCGTGCCTAGAAATGCAAGAACTGTGTATCACTGATCATTCCCTACCGGGATAAAACACTTGTACAAATCTCTTTGGCTTTCGGCACAACTTAGCATTGCTCTAGGAATGAAATATATAGTGGATCTCACTTCAAACATCGCTCGAATTTCGCTAAAAAGTTTCACCCTTTATTTTACGGGAATTCAACAATGATCGGCACCTTAAACGTGTCCTTCTAAACAACAAAAGCATCCAAAAATTGGTAAGTAGTGTACTGAAAATAATAACCATTTGAAATGATACAAAGATAAAACAAACCAGAAAACTCCCAGCTAACTGGATAAACGTTCGCAGTGATTGGGCTTATCTGAAAAACATTGTGAAAATCGGAAATGTGGCTAAATCACTCGTCGCCTTATACGCAGTTCTATAGTATAAAATAAACTGATTTGGTAGTGACCAGAATTTGTGGGAGTGTAGGCCTTTTGCTGCTCATTTTTTGCACTTGGTGGCCATGAAAAGACGCCCACCCCCATGCGAACGGTGTGCATGCGTTTCTTGTCTCCAAATTGATACTTGCTCTTCACTTGCCTCAGTTAGCTTACAGTATCCTCCGGGTACCTCAAAATGCGTCTTTCTACTTTCTTCCGGGATGTTAAACTTCACACAATATCCTAAACGAGAGTCATTTTCTTTCATACGCGTTGAACGGGTCACTGGGACTTCAATTAATTTGCAACGTTGAACACCTGGTTTCGGATCATACATATCGATGATTTCCTCTTCATCACTGATGTTTATTGAGGGAATGGACCTCGAAAGGTTGTTATTCTTCGTGGATTTCAGATTTTCCACAAATTCCCATTGTGTGCACCGGTCGGAATCGGCAGGTGATTTGGTAGATGGTCTGCTTCGTGTTCCCGGCGGAGAAAGAAACCTCGGCCGTGAACGTATCTCTCCAACGCTATCGTAGTCTTTTGACAACTTTTCTTGAGTCCGACTGGTCACAGTAGTATCCACACAATCCCCTGCGCCTCCCACTTTGGTAAATAGTTTTGAACTGCCGCCGTATGGTTTGTTTGAATAGTTTAACACCGTAACGCTGTAAGTTTTAACGTAAACTTTCTCGGGTGATGATCTTGAGTTTTCTGTCGGGAACGATGGACTATTTGCATCATTCGGTTGGCTTGAATGAATGGAGTCAATATCTAAAGTCGTGTCATTTTCTGACTTTGCCGAAGAATACATGTAACTTCCAATAACGGTACTCTCATAACTTCCCTCGGGCCGGGAGCTAGAAATAGTGTGTTGATCAAATGCTTTACTGCTCTGTGGGTGATCTCCATTTAGTCGTTTTCCCAAAGACTCCATATCAGCAATCATCAGACATGCAAATATGGTCATTATCATTTTGGCCTTCACTTCAACTATATCCTCTGGAACGGCGAAGACGGCTGCACCGATCCGACGTGCCAGTGGAATCGCATATTTCGCATTGGCCAGCTGATCCTGAGAGGGAAAAGGGATCCGAGAAGTTGTCTGGATTACGTAAGGCACATGTTTGTACATGTTAAAAGGAATCAATGGTTCATCGGTTCAGTCGTAAACCTTGACCTGATTTTTGCTTTGAAAACCTTGTCGACATCTTACGGAGATAACGGCGTTGAGGTCCCTGCGTCTCCCACCTGGGCTATAGACTCTTCATTATCCACAATCTTCCGAGAATTCAATGCGGGTAGAGACCAGCTGCTTGCCTTAGAAATGAATTACTCTTTTGTCCTTTACTGGGCTTTCATTTCGAAGCTAATGAAAAAATATTTCTGCACTTATTATCAGGAGCATACATGTTGTTGAATTAATTACTTTACATCCGACTGTTTTGGTAAGCCCTGGTACTATTCGGTTAAACACCACCGTTGCTAAAACACAAGCCTAAAGCTCCACAAAAAATTCCTACCGGATTCTTCGAAACAAATGTTTCAAATCACTCACTAATAGTCAGCGCTTGTTATGCCATGTTATCATTAGCCCCGCCTCGTTTACCCGCAAGACGGCCCAAGTGGTTAGAACGCGAGTTTACTGACAAGAAGGTGCGTGGTTCGAACTTGACCTCTGCATCTCCACTTCCGTGTCTAGGCTTGGGCAACCTGGCAGTATCCCATCCCTAGTGTCTCCTTTGCGTGGCATGGTATGTAGGCCCCGAAAGGGTGTTACAGATGAACAAGCCGCCATCCACAAATACTGAAAATGATTACATGTTCAATTAAAATTCCACATAAACGTTGTTTACATAGGCTACTCGATTGTGATGTATAAATTTTTGACGCTTTTCTATCAAACTCAAACTTATCGTCGTTACGCTCGCTTATGCAAGTCAGTTTTATTGTGCTGTACTCTGGCCTGTCAAAAAGCCAAGGAACTAATTTAAAAACTTTAACTTAAATCAAATGGTCCGCACAAGAAATCCCTTGCACACATGCGTGGATCCACTCACTCTCAGTAAAAAATGTTTAAAGTCGAAGATTTGCTGCCTGCAAACAAAATGATTTCGTTGAAAGCCTTATTCCAGAAAAAGTTCACAGACTGTAGGGTACACGGCACTTTCGTTCTTCTGTGATGGCAGTGTACAACTGGACTCACCCACTTCTCTCCCTTCAGCCATGTTTCACCTCGTTGACGTAACCTGGTATTGACGAATTTCGGCTAAAGGCCCACTACACATACGGCTTCTGAAAGCTCCGTGATGTATCACGATAAGTTTTTTCCTTCTAATTAGGTAGTGCAGTCCCCGAATTTGAGTCAGCTTTATGTTCCTCTTAAACCAAAACTCATTAGGTTTCAAAGGAGACTCGGCTGAATTACAGCTGAGTCTCTTTTTTGTTATATCCCTCAACTGAACGTCTTTCACAAATTTTTCCAGATATCACGATTTGTTTTCTTGTCAAAACAGACCACCCACATGTCTGACTACCGAATTTGACCATCTTGGAACCCATCAAATAGGCGCTGTCGTCTGGTTACTATCGACCAAAATATTTGGCATCTAGAATTGTTTGAAGATCTTAGATCGTAAGTTCGAGTTTCATCATTCAAATAAAGTCAAGAATCTTGGAGAAATATAAAGCTCTGTATTTTTGCTCCGTAGCTGATAGCTTACTACACATCTCGAAAACCTCCAGGAAAATTTGGACCTGCAAATTTTCGGTTGATAGTAAAACGTTTTACCCATTCGCTTGCTGCAGTGACTGATTAGCACTGCAGTAAGGTTGTTTTCTAAAGGGATATAGAGTCATTCATTGCTCTATGGCATATACCCAGTGATTAGTAGTACGCGCCAGAGCGATGATTCTCAACCAGGAAGAAACAGTTGTATAACGCTTCCTGACTTCTCAACATACACTGATTCCAAATTCAGAGCGACATTTTAGTTAAAAAAACGTAGGTAGGAATAATATGAAACGAGTCAGATTCTTCTTTTTAAAGGTAAAACTTTAGTGCTTCTGAATCCGATAACTCCACGTGTAAAAGGTTCTATGTGTCATTAGCAACCCATCTACAACTGAGGCCCAATCAGGTTCGGTAGAACAGAAAATCCGGCTTTTCCGAACGATTTTTTAAGTTGAATAGTTTGTTCAAAGCTTCACGATTTTATGTCTAAAGTTTTATGTCAAAGTTTTTGTATGAAGCCATTATTGGGTAGTCTACTGTTTGGTTTGTTTCCATTCGTCTATTATGTTTAAATAGAGAATTCCTCTTTTATTTCCCGGCAGACTGAATAACCGCTCCTTCAACTTTGACGTTCCTGTCCATTTTGCGGTGATATCTTCTCACCCGTCCAGAATTAAAATGCCATTTTAGCCGTTATTAAATAATTCTTTCAGCTTTAGTATATAAACGTTCTGTTGCTTTGGGTATTCGCATAAAACAACTACAGGTTTTGAATTCTTCACATCGAGAAAACAGACAAAAACTAAGCAAACCCTGCACTTCATGCTGCCCTTGAATGAGATAACCAATGGGTTAACAATGAATGGTTTTGGAAGTAAAATAAACTGCGCGTTCTGTTACTCCAAACTCCTAGGACCTCTTCCCACAAACTCAAGTTCTGGATGCTATCCCAAGTCTTTGCGACTGGTGAAATTTGGCTTCACCCAGTTGCCGATTATTCTACACATCTGTCTGACTACTGTGAACAGTGGAAGTTACCTGTCTCTGCAGCTATTCATGATTACGGACGACCCAAATCTCTTACCTACATCTTCTTCGACTGCTACGTCTGATTTGCCACAGATGTTAAAAGAGCTCTCTTTAGTTTGAGCTAATCAAGAGTCGGATAAGTTTTTGCCTAAACCATTTAATACCAAGACAGGGGTTTTCTGAAGATCAAGCCTCTCACTGAAATCACTGAATATTTGGACCAATAGTTATGAATTTTCGCCATTTGTTTAGATGCATGTTCGAAATGGTAAACATCTTGTTCAAAACAAGTTTTGCAACAGTGCAAACCGTTCATTGGAAGCGTGGTCTGGTGTGAGAGCCCGAGGGGAGCAACCAGATGGGGGCATGTATATGAGTTTCCTCCGCCTGTCTGATGAACACCAGTCCGCAGTCCTGGACGGTGTTCAGAACAATGCTTGATAAGTTTATAAAGAATACTAGTAGAGCGGCCTTATATAAAAAGAGAACATATCAACTTACTGCTTTCGTTCTCCCAGGCATCACAACGTTGTAGTTCACTGAGCCAGGCCGAATAGCGTCGATTAGATCAATTATCGACATGCCAGACGCCAAGTTAGGGTCTGTAAAGCCCATTTCTCTAGAGATTCTCGTGGTCTTACCACTGAGTCGCAGCCTCTCATTTGCCCAGTCGATAATCTCTGTCTCAGTAATAGGTGAGTTCTGATTGCCTCTCAGGTTGGTGGTAACAACCTTGGGTCTAGCCCGTGTAAGCCGAGTCAATAAGGATAGAGTGTAGGCTCTCATAAGCTGCCACAGCAATGCTAAAATCATCGTCTTTTTGCCTTCATATATGTCATCACCCCCAAGTCCAACCAGACTAAAACCGGCTTCACGACCAAGCTTGATGACTTCATTGCAGTTTTCTGGAATTAGAATGAGTAGCAGAAATAAAATGTAAGCAAAGTTTCTGTTTGAAATTAACATAGCAAAGAGCTGTAATTTTGAAAGAGATTTTCGGCAGTACAGCAAGTATATCAGCGTTGGCCGAAATAAATCGCCAGGTTTGTGTAGTGACACTCATCCAGCAACCACTTTGAGGCATTCACCACAATTTTTATATATCCTTCAGCATTGATGGCAGCAAAATTTATTGAATATTTTCAACTACTTATAATTTGTAAGTGGATAAAAATTAATGTTTTTTGGCTAGTCCAAAATTAGCCCAACGCCAATGAGTTATACATAACTTTGAAGGTATGCTGTTGTTTGTTCGAGTACTGTACACATCAGGGTGACTACAGACTTTGTGAAATTAAATTGTCCAAAACATATTCTTCATAAGTACTTACCGAGGCGCTGAAAATTTGCCTTGGCCGGTGCTTGGCCTAGTTCCGTGTGCACATGGGACCAATCTACGGAGTTTTTCTTCACAAGATCAAACAACTTGAGAAGAGTTATTCCATCTTTCAGATCACTGTATAGGTGATTCACCGTTTTTGTCAGTCCCATTGAGTTGATCCAATTCCTGTAGGCTGCACAGGGGAGGGAATTGAGATTTCTTCCTCGAGCATCAGAATATTGTGACAATGACATACACGTTTTTCTAATCGCTTGATAAATTAACAGCCCTGCTTCATGTGCTAATTATTCAGTCATATTCCGAGATATGAGCGGGTAATAATATGAATTAGTTAAAAATGAAGTCCGCTTACGTTCGTCATTCCAAGTGGAACGTATTCACGAGAAATTTCTGAACGGTAGCTCCTTCTGTCTCCAGTTATAGACATTTTGAAGTAAACTATCCTGAGCACTTCAAATTCGCTGGCGGTGAAGTCCTTAAAAACATACATAGAATCAGAGTTTATGCTCACCGTGTGAGTACGGAACCCCCAACTTTCAGTTCGTAGCAGGGATAACGAGTAATAGAAATAAAATATTTATTCATACTTACAATACATGATTCGGAAGAAGGCATAGAGAATGCACTAGTCCAGCTTCAAAACTGATATATATAAGTCAGAATCAGATAGTTTGGGTTTCCACTGCGATACGTTGTAGCTGTCAGAAACTCCAAAAAGTGATTCGATTGATAATTTCAAATCAGCAGCTGGAACACAGCAGACCTTTATTCGTGAAAAAACTCGATTAAAAGATGTACAAATGTTACCGTGAATTTGTTGCACGAGGTACCTCGCACAGCAGAGAACTGTGCACTCACTTTTTTCCTCCCGTGTCTCTTCAATTTCGGCCACTTTCTCCTCAACTTCTGTGGGTTTTTCCAGTGCTGGATATCCATGAAACAGGTTTGCTAGAAAGGCCAAATTTAGCCGCTGTGAACCGCTGACAATGTCCTCCGGACGGACGAAAACACGACAGTCCAGCTTCTCAGCATTTTGCAGAACCATTTCTGCTCGCTGAACTAAATCTACGGCATCCAGAATTGCCTGTTTCGGTAAAGAGGTACAAACCAAGCAGCATTCACGTGAGAATAAAAAAGTGCATTGCAGAGGAAGCGCTGGTAAAGAATGTTTAATCAGATGGTCGTATCAGTGTGGGTTAAGTAATATAATACACATTAGTAAGTTAAAAACGCCACACTAATGTTTTGAAGACCTACTATGCGAATTTGCATTATGGGTGCGTATTATTGAGAGTACCAGATTTACTATTTGACTATACACTACCTCAGTGGTAGGTGGTTTCAAATTAGTTTTCAGCTCTGGGTGACAATTGTTTGTCAAGAGGCAGTTTACCTTATGTTATTCACAACATTTTCCTCCTTATTGATTTCAGTACCTATTGAACACGTCTATCGTTTAATGTTACGTCTTCTGAGCAGTATAAGATACCACAACTGCAAGGTCACGAAACCCGAAATGCAATAAAGCTCTCATACTAGAAAGATTGGGCTGAAATTTCACGTCCCAATTTGTTGCACCTCCACTTGCTTAAGGATTTAACACTGAGATCAAGACCATCACGCATGGTGGTGACGGGAGGCCATAAACTTTGGAAGACGATCGGTTGATGAAAGCTGATGAGCAAGCCAGCTCAGGCCGCCCCCGTCAGATAATTGTACATCAGCAAAGCATCAATGTTAAGCATTGATGTCATGCTGTCAATGATGACGATGATGATCTGCTTCAAATCCTTGGAAGTTTGCGTCCAACCTACACCTCAAGGCGTAATTGTTTTGATATAAGGATATATAATGATATGATATATATGATATATATATGATATAAGGTTGAACCCTTGTACGGATCTAAAAATAAACAACAGTTGCGCAGTCTGCACTTTCCTCGGATAGGGACCTTCTATCTCCTTCATTGGCCTTCTTGATAAAAATCTAAAGATTATTTAATGAAGATCCGAAGATAGGCCAAAAAAAGTAAAACACCCGGTGAAGCTTTTGACCCGTGACATGAAACCCAAAGCGTCAGATTAGAATCGGAAAAAGTTGAAATTCCCCCCTCATGTATAGAATATCAGAAATGATAACGGGACAATACCAAGCTACGAAATGCTATTGGTAAGAAAAGAATGGAGAGCATATGACTGGCTTTCGAACAAAGTGGTCTGCCGATTTCGGTGGATGACTGTACAGACACATTTCAACAAGAACCAGGTTAATAGCAGTCTATTTTTGGGCCGTTAAGATGTTATAACAGGCCAGCAAGTGTAACCAGGGAAAGGTTAACGTAGGAGCATCGTAACCAATAAGCTTACTTTGGTTGAATGCATAAACGGCTTTTTCTCTTGAGGGGCAATCTTCTCCACCAAGTAAGCGTACACCTCGCAGTTCTGAAAAGATACAATGGGGAAAATTCAGAGGGTTCTCGTTTGTAAGCATTATTTCGGTCCCAATAACAAGGCTGACAGTACTTGGTCATCAGAAAGAGGCTTTTTTATATACCCGGATGGGTCGATATAATGAAGGTATGTTCGTAAAAAGTCTCATTCTGTCGAACACTGTGGCACTCTGCAGGGCTGTTCAGCGAATATACGGACTTGTTCTGTTTGGGTTTTGTAAATTTCATTCTGGAAGAGTGAAGTAGCCTAATATAAGTTGACAGTGCGCCATTAAACCTCGATACAATATCCTGTCTACTCGGAGAAGAACGAATATCTATAGAAAATTCAGTGGCTGAAAGCAAAACCTTGATGAAAAGTCGCTTTGGAAAAAATGGCTTATTTCTTGTCTAGAAACGACACACTACTCACGCAGCTGCTGGAAACGCCTCGAGAGTTAACGGCCGGTTTCGTCCTTATTGGAGCTCATTAGGTATTCACAGTCCCCGAGTTTCCATCAACCACATATTTTACTTGGCCTACATCCGTTTTATCAACAATTAATTTTTCGAAATTAGACAGTGCAGAAAGGAGTGGTAAAAACCTTATCTGAACGTTTGGTAATGACCAGATGTCTGTCAGGAATCGGCTAAGTATTGGTGCTTTCCGTGTTGTATCATGGTCTTCGTATTCTGTGGACTGTCGGTAGGGAAACATACGATGAAAATTGGCTCTCAGAAAACGGTTAAAATTGTGTGTGAACAGAGTTTTGATGTGAATCGCCTTCCTACTGAGACAGAGGTGGACTGTCAGTGATGCCTCCACCAGAATGAGGTCCTCATTAACGGGCTTTACAACATCGGCATCATCAACTCTGTGACTACAATCCGATGAAGAATATCTATCTTACCCAGCTGGAGAGGAAGTGTCTTCAGATCTAGTGCCCTGCTCTTTGAGTACATGAATGACCTCTGGCATTCCCACTAATATCGTTTTTGCAGCCACTTCCCCAATTCTGCTCGGGTGAGATCCACGCTGTGTCAGGCAACTCGATTTGCATGTACAATCTTTCACAAAGGTTCCAAGCAGATTTCTTTAGGGTTGCTTAGCTCACTAACTAAAGTAAGTATTAGTGTTGTTTCCCCACTGAACGACACCAGCCGTAGTGCTCCTACCACAATGTTGCCACCAAGTTATCTTATGTGAGAGAAAAGATTTTATTTAGAAATAGGCAATGGCATTCATTTTCACATCTCGTAAGCTTGTAGATGAATGTGTTGCCTGCTCGCTATTCACAAACTTCACAGCGTAATATCCGGATAGAATATTATCATCGAAGATTTTCAAAGGATGCAACTGGATGCCTTGAAAGACTAGGTAAATATTGGATGAGGAGAGCCTTGGAGGTACGTGCACCACTATTGTAACATGGAGGTAAGCACCAGCAATGTCCGATCCTAACACACAACATGGATTTCACATCCACATGTGATAGGCTTATGGCGCTGTCCACTTTCCAGAACGTGATTCACAATATTTACCCGATGTAGGCTGTACTCATTGAAAGGTATAGCCGTCAATTGAATCTAATGAAGTTTGTACCGTCAGTTCCTATCCATATTGACTATGTAAGTATTTGAATATGGATTGTCCTAATATTTTTATATTCTGTTTGTTATACGGTCTTACGTGAACAAAATGACATGAGTGTAGGACATCTGAACACCCGCTGCCCCCCCCCCCCACACTGTTCTACCGATGAAGAGAGTTCTGGAAATGGGGATAATAATTACGCGTTGTTAACGATCGGTGTGAAAGTAATAGTCATGAGTATGAGTACGACAATAATGGTTTGGATGATAGTAGTGGTCATTATTGAAAATATATCCGCCTTAATGTGTGTGGTAAGGATAATGTTGACTGTGATTGTGGTAATAATCATAGTAAGCTCATACTTTGGTTTATGCCATCTTCAAGATCAAGAAGAGGTTCTTTTTGTTCGTTGAATGGCTCATAAATTCGGAACTTCTATTATTGGCCTGAAATTTAGAATGACTGATGGGGTCAACAGACGAACATAACAAATCAAGATCGCGTTTATGGGCCATGTTACTTATAGCCTCAAACCAACGCGTGGTTGTTCATAACGGGCAATTTGTATTCTGATTTTATACGTACGCCGGATATGGTAACTTGGACTATCTGAGGAAGTCAACCGATAAAATCACAGAAGTACTTCTGACCCTACTAACGTCCGATCCGAAACTATTTGACCATCAAGAGGACATCTACTGACATAGGAAGTAATCCAATAACCACGTTGGCTTGTCATGCACTATTCATCCAGTAGGACTGTTCAAGTTTTCTAGACCAAATTCAGGGTGACCCAAACCAAGATTTTAGAAATGAGCTTAAAAGAGATGGAGCAATCCAAGTGTTGTTGATCCCTGTCACTTTTTACAATGGCTTTGCATGATTGTGCGTGATTTTGGCTGGAGCCTCCGAGGGCCTCCCAACAGCACGTGCAAGCTTTGTTGAAACCGATCATGGTAGGCCGTTAAACAGCCACAATCATCAAATTGTTTTTTAACGATCCACCTTTGAAACCAAATGAGCCATTGGGATTCGCCACTGGATGGACAAGGACCTTGCTCTCTCCGGGATGAATTCTTCGTCGTCGTTGATCGGCGCTGTCAAATCAAAGGTTATGGAAACCCAGTGAACCCCACACTGATGATGTAACCTGAGCTGACGAAGAAACTCTCGCAATCTAAACACCGGTCTTTGGGAAAAGACCAACAACCAGAAACTCACTTATATCCTATGACAAAAATTCGATATGTCCATATCTTTAAACTTTCGAATAATTTGCTCAGCTATAATAACCTTCTGGTGGATGGCTCTTATGCCACCTAAAAGAAGTACGAGGCCTAGATGTCCTCGGGTTGACCAAACCCAGACGGGAACGGATGAGATACCGGAGTTGGGTTGAAATCACAGATCTCCCGGTCAGTAAGCCCGCGTCTTAACCACTGATAAGAAGACTACCAGCGAGGAGATCCATTTCCGAACTGCTTTTCTCTCACGATGCAACTAATAACTCTGTTTAACTTTCATTATCTTTTTGGAGTCAGGCTTCCCAAGTGTATTACGTTTGTGACTACAACATAAACGCTGGTTGAGATCCCGACAGCAAAAAGTATATATATATATATATGCGGATCGAAGAATGTCTATTCCTTGCCTGAGATAACTACAAAGTATTGTGTAGAAGATAATGTTATTCAAAGTCTGAAAGTCAAGTGGCAACTATGCTTTGTCTTAAACTACACACTGGTCATATTGCTTTAAATAACTACAAATTCCGATGACCAGTTACTTGCGATGTGGTTTTGAACTACTCGTCTTACCATCAGTTCTCACATTATTCACTCTCGTATACAAGTGTTCCGTCCATGCAAAGTATAAGAAGACTTTCATAACTTGTCCTTTCACTGTGATCTTTCCAATAGACCACGCTTTTCCAAAAGTCTTCATCAGGCTTCACATGAAATAAACGATTTTTCTGGTTTCCAGCTTGCACTGATAAATGTAAATCAGCCATGTGGACAGGGGTCATTTTGTGTGTGGAACTCGTCCACGTGGTGTGTGCACACAATTAGCATAAGGCGATATCATCCAGTGTGGACGACGTTCCTTATTGCTTGGAAAACGAATGCAACGAGTGATTTGGATGCTGCAGCATCGCATTTTATCGGATTAGCATACGGCCCGGTTTCGAATGCCAGGGTTAACCGACCAGATGAATCTCTGCAAAAATTGGTCCTCCGGCGACAGCTACCTTCATATGCAGTGGTAACTGTGGTTGACCAACCTGCACGTCTGAAACGAGTTTTGCCAACTTTCATAAAAGAACGCCTAGGTTCCAAAGAAAGCTTATTGTTCACGCATTCTAAATCGGGTCATGTAACTTAAGTCAGCTTTTACGAAGGCTTCGCTAGACATGATCATTCTTTACAGTTTTCAAGATTGTATTAGCTTACAACTTAGTGTGAAGATGCCATTTAGGGGCCGAGTTTCAAAAAAAGAAGTGCCGAAAATCTTCTGGCAGGGCCCAGTTCTGATGGCTATTTCGGACTGTAGAGCAAAAATATGTCACACCCCCAAGGTGCACCGCTCTAGGACCACCGAACCACCGTAGTTGAAAAAGCCGATTTTGATGGTGGTTGATTATTTTCACACGGGCGTTTGCGTACAGGTGTACACCTCATTCGAATGATCTTTAATAGCTCTCCAAATTCTGCCCAAAACGGTTTTGGTGAAACAGCAACCTTTGGGTGACGAAAGAAACCATGGCATCTCTAAGCGGCATACTTTTTTGCTCATCCGTTTGAGGAAAAATTAAACTCTGATTAGTCCTGGGCCATTTTCACAGTTGAAGTTTTGGATCAGTTAGCTAACTTACATAAGAAATCTTTCTGACGCATTTTGTTACCGTTTCCCTCATATACCCGATTGTAACTACAACTGGTAAGCTTCAACGTCATTGTAATACCGGCCTATTCAATTTCAGCCGTCATTAGCGAAAGGTTTGTGGGCTATTATTACTTCCCCTGACCTAAACTGATAGGCCCTAGCCAGGGATACCAAGCATGCGTTTTAAACTGGACTGCATTGGACATCGAGTTTGGTACCTCAGTCTAACAAGGTTAGCTGGACAATTAACCCAAACTGAGACGGTTATGTTTGAATGCCTTCTACGGTGGCAACAAGAAATGTGGGGGCAATACACGCGCGTTTTTTATCCGAAAGAATCCTTTATTGGACTTTTGAACAATAAATGTCTCGGATTTTTCGACGTGATTTCAACGCCCAATCTATCTTTACTGGGCTCACACTGAAAAAACACCGCGTGTCTTGATCACAAACTTTTGGAGAGCTTAAAGCCTTAAAGCTGTATACATTATACATCCTTGGGTTACCGTAAATTTGAATTCCTTTTTAACCCGTTCCACATTAGGTGGTTAGAAAAACTTAATAAACTAGACATTTAACATTTTACGAGACTAATGTCAAGCAGTGAGCGAACTACCTGTTCAAAGTATGTGCTGCGCAACTCATGATGCAGACGTTTTGAAATAACTACAGTCGATGGGTGGTTTCCAAGATTCAAACCCATTAAGGTGGATTTCCTCGGTTTTCTAAGGGTTATGCGGCTCCAGACCGGGGGGAACACGAATCGAACTTGATGCAATACATACCTGCCAAACTCCAGGCCCTCCCACAAATTCGGCTCAGAGCTACATAAATGCATTTAAAAAGTTGTTCTGCTTCTTGTTTTTTTGTAGGCCATGCTGTTCTCAAGAAATTCGACAAATATGGCCCTTGACACAAGGTTTAGAACACACCTTTGTTAAAAGAACAGCACTTGAAGCATATCCTCAATTTGTTTCTTAAAAAACATCCATTAGAAACCATTTAGAGCTTTTAGTTAGTATAACCTCAAGGATCTACTAATTTAGCACCAGACAAATGGTCGCCCACATCCATTAAGTAAAGAGCTCCGTTTAGCTAATTTTCCATATGCATAGAAGCCTACATGCTCAGCGATTTTTCTTTGGGCTAAAAGTTATGAGCGATACGAATATTCTGAGGGTGTGAGTGTTAGCCTCACCCTGCAATATAAGGTTATCAAACTCTACAAAGCGCTTTATGCTTTTTCCCAACTTGGAAGCGGTGTGAGTATCAAAATCCAAAAAGATACCAGACTAATCCAGATGCCCACTTATGGGCTGCCAGATGCCCATTGGGAACGTTATTCGCAAACACATTGAGCCTAACGTCATTTGTCTTCGAAAGAGAACGTTATTAACACCAGAAGGACGTAGAATTTTGATGCACTTTTTATCTGCGATAAATGCGGATTACACATGAATTAAACTCTTTGAATAGAGCTGAATATTAAACACGCTAGTTTTAATCATCTCATATAGGTATTCTCGTCTGGACTCAAATTTCTAATTGAAAGATTACACCCTGAAACTTACCTAGTCTGGTTCAGATAGGAACAATTCACAACGGAATGGTTCATTGAACTTTTATAAATCGATTTGTTCTACACGGGATATTATCAGTTCCACTCTTTGGAAACTGCTGGGTTCATACAACAAACACTTTTGGTAAGTAGCTAAACAGCAGGATAATATGGGCTTAAAAAGGCTGGTGGCGCATACACTTTAGGAACATACTCGAACGTCAGCAGTAAAGTTGTGCATTCTCGCATCGCTCTCAGTTCCTTTCAAGTGGTAATTCACCCATCGAATGAGTATATCTTCAGGTGACAACTTTGCAAATTCTGATATGGTTTCTTCTCCTTCAAGCAAGGTGGCCAATTCCGCATGAGCCACAACATTGATCTGCTTCAAAAGCCCAATCTAAAATAGCCAGAAAGCATTCGCTGCTATATATGACAAAGTAAGGTTTCCCTAAATTTGACCCTTGTGGACCTTGCATCAAACTGTAATTGTGCAGCTGAATATATAATCAAGCGGAAACACATCTAGAGAAGGCTCATTCAGAATTCATGGAGTGCAGCAACGCCACCTTGTCAACTGAGCAGCGGTAAAGTTGGTTTTTCGTGCAACATGCAAAAACGGTAACACAAAAATCCGTTTGATGTTCTCTATTTATTTTATTCATCGCCTTACTCATAGGTCTGATCGCGATAGTACAAAACGATGCATACCTGGACACAAAAGCACCCTCCGGTATTTTAGCGTATTGCATTTCGCGAAGGAAAGAGAGTCAGAGTTTCTTGTGCTTTGTGTGGTTTATTATGATACCCAGCTCATCCCTGAAGACCGTTTAAACCATGCGGTACATGGTTTTTTTGGTAAACTGCTTGTTAAAGTCTTAGTTCATTTTCTCTCCTGCAGTATTATATACTAATCTGAATATTCCTTCGATCCAATCTGGTATTTTTTCAATGAATGAACAGAAGTAATTACGTCTATCAAAATAAATGTTTAAACAATTCTAAACCACATTGTGAATGGTGTAACACAGCGTTAACTCACCGATGGTTACACCAGTGACCTTCTTCAGGAATAAAACAATGAAGATAATAATGTTATGTAAGTCCTCGTTTCATAAAGGTTTGGTAAACAATCGGTGGATTTATTGCTGGGCAAATTTTCGCTTTTGACGCAAAAACTTCGTCAGACCAAGTGAGTAAGTAAGTAGGTTCATTGGGCCTTAAGGCAGTCAGGGAACCAATGTGTGAGTTTTCTTATGATTAGTGACTTGATCAGTGTTTGTTGTTCAGTCTGATGTTCCTGTTTATTGATTAGTGGGAATGACTAAGATTTACGATAGATTGGTTAGGGGTGGGTTCGTCTTTATAATGAACCCGGATATTTTCGTCCCTGCTTCTTCAGTCTAGGACACCGTGATGGAAAATTCCTCTTGGGGTCGTTCACAGATTTCGTTCACCTGTGTTCGTCCAAGGGTGCTGGGACAATTGGTTTAGGGGATGGGGTTGGGGTGGTTAATTGGATCTAGCTCTACTTAGATTTTGCACTTTTGGACCCAGGACATTTCGCTGATAATTGCACGGCGCCCCGTGTCATCTCGGCTGATCTAAGACCTCTCTCCACACGTTTGCAAGTTCCACCCCTCTATTCTATTCACACTGGGATGCTTGGCGATTTCCACCGCCTCGGCCACCAGTCGCTGTGGTGTGAATCTTAAACCCCGTTATGTTAGTCCATTAGAACCCAACAGAACTAAGTGTTCCACACAAAACACAACATTTGTTAATAGTCTGCCATCGTCAAAAAAACATTTAAAAGACTTGGTTGAAGCAAAGCGAAATAGCAGCAAGGTGTACTGCACAATATTACAAAACAACTCCCAGAATATCACCACAATGAAGCTTTAGGAAGATCCAGCTTTTCACGAATACATCCTAGCTCAGGTAACACTCCAGTACCGACTGTCATTCTCAAAATGACTGTGCCGACTGGTTCGTAGTTCTTGGCGTAATAAGATTTGATTTGTACTTCTGTCTGAATAGTGCCCCCTAAAAGTGGCCGTAACGAAAGTCAGTTAGCAACCTAGTTTAAGCTTACCCACAAATTAAGGTATTGAAATGAATATATTTGTGTACTGACCACTAACCACAATTGTTTTGCTATACTAGGGTTGTCCACTGCTGTGTTACTGCTGAATAACTTGTATACAAGTTGTTTTGTGACGTCACATTTGTATCATTATTTAGTTAGTCACCCACTAACGACAGGGTGTTTTGAACCGCAATAGCCTTGGTACGGCTCATTACTACATTCATGCATATTTGTATACCAGCTTGCGAAAAATGCATCTACAGTCCATCAAAATTCGATTGGTCATCTAACACCTTTTCGAAATCATCCATATATATTGTTCTACTATTTCTGTTCTAGCAAACAAAGCTACTCAAAAGCATACAGCGTGCTGCCTTCTCTGAAAAGTTTGTCGGAAAATCACAACTGACCACTTTGTTTGTTACAGTTTTCCTAAATGTGCCAATCCTGAGTGTTTAGTTGAATATAAATATCTACAGATATTTGTACATCGTTTAACTAGACCAATTCAGTTATTTGATGATAATGCCTTTTTGGCAACTTCCACCCTAATCTTCTGAAGAAACCTGATTCTTGTGACAACACTTTCCTTATTTATTCCCGAAAAAAATTTAACGAATGTTCTTATTGCAGCTGTGTTGCGGGACATCCAAACCCTTCGCATTTTTCGGTGACTTTATTCAAAATGTAACCTGAAGGATAGATAAATCGCTCCACTCTGCAGATATGCGTGTTTTTAATTTGAAGAAATAAACAGATGAAAACACAACAAAAACGATCCCAAAGGAATGACAATTTAAATCATCCCCGATGGTAGCCCTGAATGAGGGATAGGTGAATAACGGTGAGAGGTTAAATGTCCTTGTGGTCGTTAATGGTTGATTTGAAACACAATGTGCTTCCCCAGAGTCATAGGGGTGTAAAACACTCTGGTAAATGGTGTGCGCTCGAAACTTTTAGTTTTTATTTACTGAGATTACAAAAAAACCTTTGTATTAAATGGAAACATGAAAGCAGTACTAGAAAACTCCATCGGCTATCCCGCTTCAAGGTTTTATGGAATGCAAATGTCCTAGTGTGGGATGATATATTACCTTTGATGATTTTTATAAAATACAGCCTTTTTAAGTACCTAGTCCTTTATTTTAAACCTCAGAATGGGGTAATCTCCTGCAACATCCGGGGCTAAATAGGTCCCACAGAACCAATATTCACTACGTTCATCCAACCGTTTCAAATGTTATTCGGGATGCGCATTATATCAAGAAGGCCCAAAAACCTTCACATTATGACGAATATAAATACTGTTGACTCACCTTAATGACTTGCCACAACAGACCCAACAGTAAGTGTTTTGTTCCATTGAGTATATCTCCGGCACCAATATTTACAACATTGCATCCGATTGCGCGTGCACTGTTCAGGGCCAGGGTAATATTTTCGTGCATTTGGAAGGTCGTTGGATGCTCGCTTTTGTTCAGAGCTCGTGGATCAATCGTTCCAGGAACGGAACAGTTTATGATTTTGCTACGAAACAGGAAGGCATTGTTTGGGAGATGTTACTTTAAACCCAGCCGCAAGCAGAGAGCATCTGAAGAGAGCGACCCAGTAAAGTGATGGAGGTAGCATAAATACCATCATTACGAACCGGAACATTATCAGATACGCTACTGCTTCACTTGTGCACAAAAAAGACCTCAACAGTGACAGAAATTTGTGACAGTCTGATAGTTCTTCAGCCGCACACACTTCTGGTGGCTTATTATTTCTTTCTCTTTGAATACGTCACTGTTTAAAATCCCATAGTAGCAAGTGCGTCAAGAAAACAGACAGCTCTCAGTATGGCTACCTACTCATGCTTTATGGTGCTCATTCTGCTTGCTTCCCCTCCTTTTTCTGAAGTCTGGTTCGGTTTAACACTTCTCGGGTGAAAAATCCCTTCAAGACTTGATCTCCCTCGGACCACGTAGGTGGCATCACTTCCCGTGTTACTTAAAACTTTGCACGCCAAAAATCGCAATTTTCGACTAGACCTTGTACCATGCCACGGTGTGTGGTATAGCAAACGTGCAACTGTGACCGCTTGGTGGACATTAAGAACCTAAGTTGTTGTAACTAAGGTGATTCACGTTTGCTATCTTACTGAATCTCTCCAATTTGTTTTTTTTTGCGGGTTTTCAGTTGTGTTACATTTTGTTTGTTCTAAATAACATAAGACAAGATTTCGTAATGTGTTTCACGGTGAATTTGGGCACTTGGTCTTTTTTTAAATTTAGTTGTTTGTTGAAACACTTTCGAAGCACCCAGGTGTACTAACCACGGACGAAATTTAATAACTTGTTCAACAGTTACATCATTTAAACTGCGTTGCAGCACACTAAAAATTCTACTATGGTGAATTTTGCTATAGCTCCTGTTAATTTCAACTGCTTTCTGCCTCTGGGCCATCAGGGTGATTTGAACTTTGATTTATACTTGAATATCTTCAACTTTACAAACCATGAGATTTTTAGTAACAGGCCAGTTTATTTACACAAGAGGCAGTGAAAACGTTTCCTTTAGTTTTATCCGTCATTTTATTTCATTGACTTTGTTCTCCAAATTAGAGACTAGGTTCAGATATGCGTGTTCTGGATTGATAACCTTGGTGGAAATGGGTGAAACGGTCTCTCTTTGATTCTTGTAGCATCATTTTCTGCGGTATAAAATTGGGTGCAAAATTCCATTAAAGCGCTTTAACTCTTCCTCCCTCTTTTTGCTTTCGCATTTTGTAGTCTATCTTACTTCACTTGACTAATTTTCCCTATTTTAGTTTTAGAACTTATCACAGTGGCTTTGATACTAGTATAAATGTCTTGCATTAGGCTGGTTATGCCTGATGTAAACTTGTGCAAACCCAGGCGACCTACACAAGGTGCCCAACCTTGCACACCTAGATGCTTACTTTACAAATATATGATAAAAAATGTCAGGTTTTGTGTGTACGCGCTATGCTTTGGTCCTCTTAATATCTGATTACATGACACTTTCCTACCTGCCTCCTACCCTTGTGGAGCAACTAAATTGTCAGAAATAAGCAGACAACATTTTTTAAAAAGGTTTTTGGTTATACAAAAAAAACATTTCCACGTATACACTTATTAATCTTTGAAGTAGTCGAGGGTTTTCTGAGTGGTAGAGTACAAGTATTCGCCCATTCTGAATGGTCTTGTTTTTCCACTATTCAAAGCCAGAGCTTTGAGTCTGAAATGTCGTCACTCATTTCACAGATCTTTTCCAGAATTCGTGTTCCAGAGGCAGGCTTGCGATTCTGAGACAAACGTGTGTTCAATAGTTAAACGTTGCCTTGAATGCAGCGGTTTAACTTAGGGGGCGTGTGATTAGCCATAATGGGTGACGGACCTGTCATATCCGTATATATCCGTATACATATATATAGAGAGAAAGAGCATATATATGGATGATCTCGCCTTCTCTACTCAATATTCAAATTATATATTTAAGTTTATAAATATCTGGTTAACTGTATGTCGTATCATATTAACACTAATGTATGTATTATGTGCCTTTTCTGTGAAGCTTTCATCAGGTATTACAGCCTTTTGTACTAGAGGTAAGCGAAAATTGCCTATTTCTTACTGAGTTCGCAACACTGATGTATGTATTCTGTGCCTTTCCTGTAAAGCTTTCATCAGTTATTACAGCCTTTTGTATTAGAGGTATGCGAAAATTGCCTATTTCTTACTGAGTTCGGCTCTAGTTGAAGTAAAATTATGTCTGTTTTCTTTGTTGTTTTTATTCTTAGATGACAGAGCTGGTGTTTCTATTTACTTTTGGTATGACGCGTAAAATATTTACATTATAAAATCTAAAATGCATAATGATTCGATAGTCATTTACTCCTCTGTCTAGAGACTGTTTTAATTCAAATAGCTGTTTCCGGTAACTAAATATTCCTTCCATAAATCAGTAATCCATCTTACTTGTTATCGCCCCTGTGATGCCATACACTAACTACTTCCTGAATGTTGTTGAGCTAGAAAAGGAATAAGGCAAAGGGCTGTAAAAAATAAATAACAGTCAATAATAGTATCCTACGTCAATCTGAACTCAGCGTCGTACACTCATAATAGAAAATTTTGTTTTCCCTAAATGTCAGTTTAAATGGTTACCTTACCCCTTATTTCTTGAGTTATCTAAAAAAATTAAGAGATTAGTTATGCTTTTTATTTATGGTGGTTATTTTTTCACTCAAATCCGTTGGTCTCAGGAGCACATCGGATTTTACAAGTACAACTGCATCAGATCCTCTACGAAAAAATCTGATTTAATCTGCCTCTGTACGTTACAAAATCTGACTGATTTTAAGCAGCAAGACACTTAACTTCCTTAGTTTATACTTGTGTGAGTAAGTGAGTAATGGGTCATTTTTGCACGTAAGTTTGAGAGTTCTCACCATTTAATCACAAAACAGAAGATGAAATTGAAATCCTTTTTAAAGCTCTTAAACATTGATGCAATGCAGAACAACATGCAGCACTTTTGATATTGTGACTAGTTTTATGTCTTCCTCAAAGGTTGAGCTCTTGAATTTTGGTCTCGGTATAAGGAGTATATCCATGTGTGATGCCTGAATTGTCCCCAGAACAATGGTGGCCTTTTTCAATCAAAGCAGCGTTAATATATAAATTTTGAAGTCTTCCTTAAAAACTTGTGGAATCATAAATCTCTTGATCTGTCTGTCCTCCACACGGGTTTGGATGTGAACTAAGACATATAGACATCTTGTGTATTTTACACTTTCAGAATCTATCGCCATAAGCTCGGAATTTTAGCATTGCTTATCATTTTAAATTTTAGCCGACAGTCATTTCGTTCATCCGGGTCAATGAGAAATTTTGTTTTTTGCGCAGTTTTTATTTTGCTCTATTGTCAGTGGTTACCAAGTAGCATCTAAGAGGAGCAATCTGGGTTTTGCGTCAGAAAACCTACACAAACTGTAACATAATGGACAAAAGCAGATTCTTATTGAACTGTAGTCGTAGTTTCATATACCTTTTAGTAGCGGTAATAATGCTCTCCTTATGTTGTCAATAACTAATGGATGAATCTTTTCTTTCCTCTAGCTAAGAAAGCTTTCAACTTTACGCCTCACAGTCCAAAATGTTAGCTGCTTTTTAAAAGTTGCATAAATTTTCTGCTACCTTCATGAGTCCTATTACATTACACCCACTTTCAACAGCTCTGTACTGCCAGTGCATCTTTTAAAAATCCACAAATTGAAAGCGCAACGGTAGCCTATTGCCTTTTTTATGTTTTTTTTAGTGTTCCGAAAGTAACTGCTGTTGTATGGGCAAGACACTGACAGTACTAAAGTAGGCAAACAGATGTAGTCTGCCTGCAATGAGCGAAGTGGTATTATCCAGTCTGGTTGAAAAAACGCTGATGTAAAGAACTACTTGTCTGGAGGTCTGTTACTGCCAGTTTTCTACTAACCTAAAGTATCGTCCTACATTCTATCAGTAATGTTCTTAATAGAGGTTATCTTTAAAATTACTATCCAATAAGACTAACACATGCTTTGGCATTTATTCTTACGTAGGTTTCATGTCTGTAAACTGATGTTTGCCTTTAGTTCTGCTATTTGTGTTAGCATACATATTTCTGTAACTTAACCGATGGTTCCTCTTAAATGAATTCAGCCAGTCATCAGTCACTTTAAAAACTACTCAAAACTGGTCTGCACCTCAACAAAATGCGTGGGTTTCCAGAACATTCAGGCTTTGATTATGTTTCTAATGCGTCTGTTAATATCTTAATATGATTACTTATACTCGGCCCTTTTGTTGTCATGTATTACTGAACTTTTAATTCTTGTTTTTTTTTGTGATTAACATTTTTTTCTTGCACTAGAGTTTATCTCTGTCGTTTTTCGCACTCAGTGTTTTAGCTTTCGGTGATGTTTTAACTTTTAACCAACCTGGGCTTTGTATTAAATGGACTTAGTAAATGCTGTGAGTATGCAAGGGGTATATACTGCAAAGAAATAGTGGATGGTATCATTCAGTAGTTGCGCTGTACTAAATCGTGTCCCATTATACCTCCACAACAACGTTTATCGATACCATTGATGGCCATTTGACCACAACTGGCTTCTGTGTAGCTGCGCGTAATTGCTGTGTTGTAGTGACAATGCTCCTTCCATTTCACACAGTGTCTGACATCTTGAAGCCCATAATTACGGTGGCATTGTGGATGCACAAGGACTCGTGTCCAAAATTTTCCCCATATACTAGTTATGCTTCAGGCGTCAGACATGGCTAACGCTAAGTCTATCTCAATCGTACGGCTATAGATTTTCAAGACGGATTAAGTTTAAACCCAAAAATATACGATGGTGTAGAATTGCTTCTTATCCTGGATTAAATTTTTTAACTGCAAAGAGGTACTTTCCATACATGTTCGGCCTGTGGTTTATAGCTATAAACTTTAGAGCTTGTCAAACTCCTATACGGTTTTCCCATTCATTCTTTGTCCGAACAGAATATTAGTCATGGAAATAACACCTTATTCTGCTACCTTTTCAGAAACAAATTTTGATGCTGCCATCCTCCAAGTTTAAGATCGCCTTTGAAACACCACTTTTTGGCTACTATCACAACTGTTACAAACAAATATACTCCTGGAGCACAAGACATGGACGCTTTTCTTCAACTTGTAAATATTTTTTATGCCAGTCATTGCAGTTTTTTACCGTAAATTTTTGGCATACGTAGGCTTTTACCTGATCCCTATTATTCGCTTGATTATTTCTCCTGTAGCCAGCATTTACTTGTGAGCTCTCCTTTATTTCTCGATCATTAAATTGTTTCCGTTCGTAAGCTATATATTTGCCTGATTTTCCTCACGTCTCTCAGTCAGACAAGCATTGTGCAGACAAGTTTTAAGATCGCCTTTGAAACAGCACTTTTTGGCTACTATCACAACTGTTACAAACAAATATACTCCTGGAGCACAAGACATGGACGCTTTTCTTCAACTTGTAAATATTTTTTATGCCAGTCATTGCAGTTTTTTACCGTAAATTTTTGGCATACGTAGGCTTTTACCTGATCCCTATTATTCGCTTGATTATTTCTCCTGTAGCCAGCATTTACTTGTGAGCTCTCCTTTATTTCTCGATCATTAAATTGTTTCCGTTCGTAAGCTATATATTTGCCTGATTTTCCTCACGTCTCTCAGTCAGACAAGCATTGTGCAGACAAGTAATTTTCACCCACCGATGGTCCACACTGATTGTAAACATGGCCGGTATTGTAGCAAATTTAAACGGGTGTTGCGACGAAACTCCACGTCATTCGCCATCATCACCAAGCACACAAGAATAGTGAACGATATTAAATAATTAATGCTATCCACCGGCTTTAAAACCGATAAAATTCCACCGTATACATGTCGGCTCAAAATTATTTCAGTAAAACATAACCTTAGTCTAAAGCGAACAGAGTCCTTCCATCCAGTACAAATGACTCAGTCACGTATTACAAACTATTTCATCGAAAAACTCACCATAAAAGTACGCCATCACTGCATTTTTCGTAAAGATCTCCTCCCTCCGAATCAAATGGAAAATAGCAACCACATTCCTTATCATCCTTCAAATTCCTCGTCGCGTTAGAATATTAAAGTTTGGCCCGGACTCACCTTTCAATCCAACTAGAGAAGGCTATCTGTTCCTCTTCGCTAACACTGTGGAGCGTATCATCTTCAACGTTCCCTCCTGCTGCGCCATACTGATACAATGTAGCTTTAGGCGCAACGTTCTCAATAGTTGATCGTCTTGGATCGTGTTTGCACACTTCTTGGTAAATCTGCAGCAGGCCTATTGATATAAGTTGCAATCTTACACGTTTAAAATCGTTCAACGTTAGTTCCTCTGTTTCTTCTTCTATCTCTGCAGATTTCAATGCATCAGTTACTTCCTCCTCGTTAACTTTGCAGCCCAGATTATGTAGTGCAGGTAGAATATCACATTTTCTCAAGTGCCCGGTATACTTTGGGTCGAACTAATGAATAACTTGCTCAGTCTCGCCAAACCCACCGCATAAAATGTCTCCAGAAGCTGGCTCAGTTTCGCAGGCTGTCGGCCACGTTTATCATCCATGTGCGATAACTGGATAAAACTGCGGTGATGATTTCATAAGTGCAACCTCCTGTACAATCATCAATACACGCATTCAAACAATACTTAGTTCACGTTCGCAAACGTGGATTGGCTTATTGCGTGGCCTTGGTTGTGACAATTCCATTCGCGTTACAGTCCACGAAGCCTCTCCTCTTTTAGGACGCGGCAAATTGACATCGGTGCTGAAGTAGGTGAAACGAGTTTGCCTCAGCCCAGGTGAGTTTGATGGGGAGCAATGAGCGTCAAGCATCGGTGCCTCAGCCCAGATGAGTTTGATGGGGAGCAATGAGCGTCAAGGGCAAGTCAAGTACTGTCCATATTATTGAACATAAAGCGGAATTCGTGCAACAGACACCACACTCAGTCACAAGATTACAGTATCCAACTCATTTTCAGGCTTCTTGACTGGCCGACAGACAGAATGACAACCACAAACATACGAACAATACGGTCAAACGAATCAAGTTTGTCGGAAGAAAGCCACAAAATGCTGACAATGGCAAATAGGTCGAGTATTGGACGATAAAATCGAGGAATTCACTACAGACACTGACAATAAAAACCAACTGCGGTGTACTCGGCATTTGTGTGCAACACGAACGACCTGCTTTGGCGAAGATCACCGGTCTAAGACGTCCTTGTATGATCTGTTGAAGCAGTTATGCAGACACATTGATGACCGTTTTCCACGTTTGAGCCAATTAAAAATCCTTTCGTTTTACTTATAAGTACGGGCACAACAAGTTTTCTAAAGCCAAGTCAGACTTTTGTGTATTTATCCTAAGCTTAAACCACGTTCTCCACTGGAAGCAGCTTGAGGCCCCACAATTTCAGGTAATCATGGACTTCGTTGCTCAAAACAGTGGAACTGCATCCAGCGCCTCCGTAATATTTCTGCTACCTAGGCTTCTTCTTCAAGTAGGTACGGACGCCTGGTCATCTAACTGAGAGTGCATTTTGAAGGGTGTAGACGTAGTTAACCGGAGGCAGTCCCTAGCCAAGACTACAAACAATGTGCATGAGCCCTTCTATGGCTGATTTATCCCATTTGACTGCACATCTGCTCTGCTCGTGGGTACAGAATCACCATTAACGTCGTTTTACGAACCACTGCCTCTTTTTCGTTCATACTTTAACGAGTATTCCTTCTGTGCCCAAATGACCTGAATAAACCCCTCAATGCCGTTCGTGTAGGAAACCTCTACGTTACCCACGTTATTTAAGGGGGGAGTTATGTATTCATGTCAGTATTTTGTCCTCCATAAAAGCCACTGGCATTTGCAGCCACTGGTCAATTTCATTATCACAGGTGCTTTCCTTTTTCGGTGCAGCTAAATGATATTATCATTACCTCCTTCACTTACATATCAACCGCGGCCAAGGTATCCATCGACATCCTTTCTCAGATTTGTCACTAGTAGCACCGACATTAACTTTCTTGAAATGTTCGCATACTGTGTTCATGATATCGATGGTTGTAACCACCAAACCACCAGACCATCTACGGAAACCTGGATCTTTCATATCGGATCACCTGGGTGAACAGCTTTATAGGGGCCTTTGGTTAGTTTGGTTCGCCGGGCAGGTATTACGCTGTTGACTCCCGACACTTTTTGCCACTCCCAAATTTTCCACCCAGGTTCTCAAGGCAGCGGTGATCTTCTGTGGCATGACCGCTGTTTGCTAAGCGATTAACTCCTGGTGCTTAATGTGGGCCCGGTTACCGGACGTTGGGCATCCGGTGCAAACTCTCTCCTGGGTATAATTTTAGGACAGGGCGATCCTACTGTTTCATGCGGCAACATAAAGATTTCATCCCATCCTCTCTTTCTGATACTCCTACCTTCTTGGATTCATCAGCTTTCTTTTGCCCGGTTTTCGAACCCCTGTAAGCACCTATTTGAATTTCAGACATAATCTTCATTGGGCGGATAGTATGACGGTGACCAGCAGGCGGCTATCGTCTGACGTACTATATCGTGGCTGCTTCTCGTGCTTGCTCTGTAGCTGCCGTGACTTTTAACCTGTAAACTTCATCATATTTTGAAGTAGCATAGTTTTTGGACTAGCTCCGGCGATCCAGTCAACCCTCGAGTTGGTGAAGCCTCTTACGATGACATGGTTCGCAAGATTGGCTCGGGAACGAATGTTTAACCACCACTCTCAGATTGCTTACCATAAATTTAAAACAAATACATCTCTCTTATGATCCTTAAAAGTTGTGATCGGTGCAAAATTTCTTGCCAGCTTTGATGCTTTTTCGAAGGAAGGCGGTCCCCTCCAATTTCATCGTCATGTTTGTCCCCACTGTTCGCCGCGGAATTCGCTGTTACAAACATCCTTCTCTACCAGTTAAATTCATGTCAGTTACAGTTACAGTGTCCGACTACACATCTACTGTCTTCGTTACGTTCCACAGAGCGGAATCAGTGTGCCATTTTTTCCCTTCGTCTGCTGGCCAAACAATTAGGTTTGCCGATAATATATCTGAGGCATGGTCCATTCCCCTGAATATCACTTGGCCGCTGACAATTCCTTACTTCCTCTGAAATGTCAAATCCAGTGTCCAGGCGGTCATATGTCTAGGCAAGATTCATAAATCCGCTGATGTTCTGCAGTCATGCGCAACCATCCAAGCGAGCGATATATGGATGTTTTATACCGCTACTACTCAACGTCTTTTTCGTCAGATACCAGTCCGGTTGTACGAATATCAATATTCGGTTTGGCCTCAATGGCCCCATCAATGGCCTTGCGCATCATCTCATATGCTTGAAGGAAAAGTCACTTGCTGTGAGTTGTTCATTAAGCTCAGGAGTTTACGTGCCGGCATCCACTGTGCATTTCTCAGTGCCAGTGGCGCGGACTGCCTTAGCCCATTTGGTGAGACGTTCAAGTTAGTAAAACTAAATCAGCTACGAACGGTCTGTGTGCGGTTCCACAACCATTCTAGCGATCATCAACGGGTACAAAGCCACAAGATCAGAGGTTGTGATAGATGAACCTGATACATCACGGAAACCTGCAGTCCAAGCTTGGTTCCACACGGAACCAAATTTCCTAATTAACCGCTTCGGAGAGACTTCGATTGTGGACCGTTTAGAGCGACTGACCTCCTCGTAGAAACCGGTAACTTTTGTCGAATATAGTCTGATCCCGAAAATGGTAGTTTCACCGGCTAGTTTCTCATCTGTCTTCATAGAGAAAGTGCCGTTAGTTTACCAGCTCTCTGGTTTTATCAAATGTATCCCCCTCATCCATTCTATTTTAAAAGCTCTTTCTCCAACCAGCCGACTGAGGTATGTGCCGGGTGAATTCGTCTTGACATATTCAAAACCTGATTGCTCGACTCCGTTTTCCTGGTAATATCTGATGAGAGGAAATTCTATGGCCAACACCTTTCTACCGTTCTGGGCTGACAGATCAACATATTTTCATTGTTTGGTACCCAGAACAGTTACTTCTCTCCCAAGCTTCTTGTCGTGCAACTGTTTCCTTCCACCCGATAGCTACAGAGAAAAAATAAGCAAACCACCTTCAGTACTCTGTGTCAAGTTTTTTGCTTGCCAATTCGAGAACCCATGTAAAGAAGCAATTTTACATAGTTCCTGCAGATTATTTGACAGTTTATGTGGGTCAAACCGGGTTACATGAACCGAATCATCCAAAGAACGGCAAATGCCTTTTTGCAGTAAAGTAAGGGGCATGTATGAAGAGGGCTAGATAGCCATATCTCCCCTGGTATACAGCTGTGTAATAGCTTTTGGTCTACTATCACCATGCACGGAAAAAGCGTTCGCTGAGTCTCCTCCAATTAATAAACGGACACTTTTTTCTTCATTCAGTGGAAGGGGTCGGTTTAGTGACCACTGATCTGCTGTACTAACATCTATCTGAGCGTGCTGGCCTCGTAGTTCCTAGATTTCATGTCGCCTGCAAAAAGCAGACACGGACTTCAAAGCGCATCTGGTGATCATTGCCGTGGATCAGAAACGAGAGTGGTTTCAAGACGGAACCCTGAGAAGCTCGAATGGAGGAGGGTTCCAAGGATATTAGGCCATGTCCACTTTTACTAAGAATGCTCTGTCCGATGGGTAGGTCTTAGCCAAGCGTGGATATTCTCATTGGGCTCCACATAGCTTGAGTTTGTTGAGCAGCATTATGTATGTAACGGTTGAATGCTTTGGAAGAGCTGACTGTTGTACGATCAAGCTACCCAAAAATACTAGTGTATCCGTCATGCAAGGACTTTTTACTATAAATCTACCTTACGCTGTATATACCAAGCTGTTGGCAGTGATGCGATTTGGGATTATTCGCTTCAGAATGCATTCTATCACTGCCTGATACGCTCGCGAAATTAGCAAGACTTCCAGGAGATAAGCAGTCACCAGTTTTGTAGATTAACATGATCAAAGAAATTTCACTTTCGTCAAATGGCCTTACAAATCATTAGGCATTTTTCTTACCGACGTGCGCAACTTTTCCACATGTATCTTCAGATGGCTGTCGTCCGAAAGAAGGCACTGAATTGGTTTATGTCTTGAAAGAGTTGACAAGTATCCTTCTCCGTGTAGACCAAGACGGTTGAAGGCTGTTTGTGCCTGCATCTTACCACGGTTGGATCCAATGCGGTAGAGGCAGCAGGATACAGTCGTGCGTGGTGCCTTCTGTAGACTTGAGGTACCGCTCCAGTGGCACTCATGAGATACCCATTTCATTCCCCCGTTGAGAAAGCAGTAGGCTTGTTTCTTTCTGCAATGTCTCACGTACTTGCATGGTACGCTATGGCTTTATAGTGTGTGGTATTATACGACGGCATGTGTCGTATGTTCTGTATGTTTCGTTGACGGATTTCTATCTTACAACGGCTCTGTATCTTACAAACCGCCGGGCAGTTAGATTGCCTGGTAGTTTCCTTGTGATGGACATCGCATCATCTCCATGAATTTTCTGGACAGTGGCACCCTGAGAAGCCTTCTGAGTAGTACACGAAATGCTGTTCTAGTAAGCGTAGTGTGCCGTCTCGCTAGTTCCCTAAACTACTTTGGCTCCCGGACCCGGAACCCCAATGGTATGGCCCTTGTGGGAGCCCGTTGAGCAAACGCGCTGTCAAGTTCAATACATATACAAGGTCACCCACTCCTACAGGACTTTTAAGGCTTTGCTATACAATGAAAACCACAGTTGTACGCCTCGAGAATATTTGAAAGCTAGTAGAAATATCATAAAGTTTCAGTCAAATCGCATAAATAATTTGGAAAACTTTTCATCCCTGGAAATTGGAAGCTAACGGCAATAATAATGATATGTATTGCGAACGAACAGGCAACGCGGCGGTAGGCATGTTCAGGCTAGTGCACTCAGGATGGAGGCAGGACGGATGACAGCCGTGGGCGCTTAGAAACACATGGGATTGGCCCGTAACACAATAAGTGCCCTGCTCCAATCCGGGTAGTGTCTTTCCAAAAGTGGCATGACATACCAAATTTTGCACTCTTCTTAGACATAATCCCTAGTTATTGTTGTAAAAAAATATGTTATAGCTTCATGCAGAGTATTATGAGACGTAACGAAGAATGGGATTCACCAGACTGCTCAGATCACTTCACAAGCATTGCAGTTTTTACCGCTAGCTACTTTTAAGGAAATAACAGTGACTTATTCCTCAACCAGTGGAAGACATTCCTGGCTTTATGAAAATAGACATTGCGATGCTGGCAGCACCTGCTAGATGACTAAATTGGTTGAGGTGTGGTGATAATACCCAACAACAAATTTGAATACTTTCATGAGGTAGGTCTTATATTATTCGCATGGAAATACTAAATCAAAACGTGACAAGTCGCATGCGCGCGGTTTCGGAAGAACACGAGAGCCACTGCAAAATCTTTACAGGCGTTGGCAGCCGATTTTTATGAAGCTTATCTCAGTTGTTCAACATTCTGAAGCGTTGACGGAAATGATAGTCATGAATGATCCCTCTTTCATAAACGCGGAAAAACAGAATATGCTGCGGTCCGTCAGGATCTGCCAGTCCTATTGAACCTGATCCTATTTGGATATCCTACGCATATCGGCTTGGTCATGCTGATTAATGGCAAGCCTGGAATGCATGCAAACGCAAACTCAGAGTCATTTCTACTAGTAAACCAAATCAATGTCGTCAAATTCGGGCTGGCGCACTTATTTGACAACGTAGGTCTGCCAAAAAATGCAATGCCCTCAGGGGTTCGACACGGCCACGTAATCATCCCTTGGAGTCCCCTAACATACTTTGAGAACCACATCGCTTCCAGGAGCTCAGCGACACAAAAGAGAGCGTCTTCCTGCAAATCCATTAACCCTAGTAAATTTAAAAGTTGGCACGTGGTGTTTCGCTCAAAAAGCAGACTGCCTAGGATTTCTTTCACACGTGAGCGAACGGCCTTTACCGGCCACGAAATCTATGCCCAAGCCTCGGTACAAAACCCGGTCTAGAATTAACTTTCTATTCTTCAATAATCCGACACTTCCTAATTCACACCTCTAGATCCAAAGTTAGGGGGTTTTTAATTCATGCTGATAAGCTATCTTAGGTTCAGATACCAGACTGCTGACATTCACTTGCCGGCTTGCTTCAAACAATCGTCCGAGGCGGGATATTTAAAGATCTGTCGCGCGATAAAACATGGTCGAAGATCAACCATTTTTCGGCCGAGTTGAAATGCTGGTTGGAACTCGGCATTGCTTCATTGTTCAACTCTATCCTGCCCTCTAATTCTCCGATCTGACCATATTGGTGCAAGTCTTCCAATGCGGTGCAGATCCGAATTCCACTGCGCAAAACCTAACATTTTTCTCCGGTACATATACCTTTGTCGGTCAGTTTCAGTGGACATAACTTGATCATTACTTGTTGACTGGAAAATTTTTTCAGTAGCTAACGCTTCGCGCTCTGTTTGCCTGTATGTGGTTTCGGCCGCCCCGAAGCCGCTGAAAGGCGATGTGTATGTGCTAGTAAAACTTTGCACCAACGTTGGCAAATATTGTTGGAGTGTATGGACCCCTTGGGCAGAAACACACACTGGATATTTCGCGGAACTAGCACCGTCCGCACTGCACCTGTCTATTACCAATGGAAAAACTTCGCTTATCAGGTGATAGTTAAGGCTTTTCCAGCGTGTAGTGAAATGTGTGGTGATTTTTTAAATTGATCTGCAACTAAGCAATGGATCATGAACCGAAATATTCCAGTCAAACGTTTCAACGCGCGGATTTCTTATGAGTGTATGCCTCCCAACACCGGCTTCGACCTGGGTTAATTTCACTCATGTACACTTAAAGGGTTAGCCTCCAAAACATTTGAGAAGCACACGGAAAGCTCGTTCTGGACAAAACGGTCTGCAGTCCAATGAATCAAAAGCATTCTCCAACGATCGGGTGCAAGCTTTTCCTGGAAAAGATTGCCACGGGTAAAGCAGAGGGTGATCCGGCAATTTTAAGGGGTGGAGTCTGAGTAACACATGAATCCTCAAGTTAGCTTGGAAAATTGCCGCGGTTTTGTACCTCGCCCCAATTGGAAAACCATCGAAGCAATGTGCCAACGGTTTTTCACCTAAAGCGCGAAAACAAACAGCGACAGCGGTGGCAGAAGACTACAAAGAACACGAAGCGGGTTCGTTCGCTGTCACAGATATTTTAACGCATCCAAGCTATACTGCAAAACACGATAGCAGGAAATGGACGCTTATGTTTGTGAACATTTGACCGACACAAACCGCTTCAGTTAGTTAAGGCACTGGTGAGATGTATCCGACGGTTTTGTTGGAAACACCATTTAGCCTCACCAAATGTTTCTAAAATTCACCAGTAGCTCGGAAAATGCAGGCTCTCTTCCGCCTAGGAAAAACTGAGGTCATGCTAAATCACAAATCCGGTGACAGCAGTTTGACAGGGCACGTTATGAAGGTGGTTTTTCTAAACCAAGTCGATGTTCACAGCGTGATATCCGCAGTACAACAAAACTTTGTTGAAAACTTTTCTGTTTGACGGATATACTCGTGCTCGAGGAAACAGTAGCACGGGGGAAAGAGGAATGAGTCATATCCAGAACCATATATTTAAATGTATCGAAGCCGTTGATTGTGTTAAATGTGTCTGGTTGGTCTGAACTATGTCAACGGCCTCGATGCGCTTTCAAGGCTATGTCAACTTTCTG